CAAACACTTACTGCACACCAGACATTGTCCTAGATATTGTTGGAGTTACAAATATAAATCTTAATTAAATCCTAACCTTAAAACCGTTCCTTGCTATCCACAGAGGGTTGGTTCCAGGACCCCCTCCCCCCCCAACAGATACCAAAATCTGCAGATGTTCAAGTCCCTTATATAAAATGGCATAGTATTTTCATATAATGTATGCACATCCTCCTGTATACTTTAAATCATCTCTAGACTACTTATAATACCTAATACAATGGAAATGCTATGTAAATAGATGCTATGTAAATAGGTGCTATAGGGTACAGCTTTTAACATTTGTATTATTTTTAGTTGTCTTATTGTTATTTTTTATTGTTCATTTTTTCAAATATTTTTGAGCCACAGTTGGTTGAATTGGTGGATGTAGAACCTACCAATATGGAAGGCCAACTGCGCTGCAATACTATAATGGTATACTTTTCTTTTTTTTTTTGAGATGGAGTCTCGCTCTGTCACCCAGGCTGGAGGCAGTGGCATGATCTCGGCTCACTGCAAGCTCCACCTCCTGGATTCATGCCGCTCTCTTGCCTCAGCCTCCTGATAATGGTATACTTACATACAACAGTGATAGTGATGAATGTAGGTAAGTGTACTATAAACTGCTATAAATAAAAGTTGTAGTTATAGCCATTTTATATGCTCTAATTACATATGCATATGTTACTCTTCTGCATTCTTTGAAACCTAAATCTAAATCCACCTCCTCAGTGAAACCTTCCCTGAATCCCCCAGGCTGAGTAAGTTGTCTATCCTCTGTGTACATACAAATTTGTAATTTGAATCAATGTAGCTTTCCTCTGTATAAATGCAGTGGATGTTTTTCTCTCTTACTAAATTCGAAGCTCTATGGAGAAGAAACTGTGTCTCAGTCCTCTTTGTACCTTCACCACGCCTAGGCCAAGGAAAGATGGCAGTTGTGTTTGTCAAATGAGTGAATACATGAATCAATAAATCATACGCGATAGAAAGAGTATTTGAGGGGAGTAGACGAAATAATTTTAAAAGGCCAAGTTTGGGGGAGGTTTGAGTTATGGATAACAGAATTCTGGAATACATTGTGAAAAACCAAAAAGAGCACAGACTTTCATGTGATCTTAGGAAAGCTAATAGTAATACCTAACTTTTATTGAGTGCTTAGTCCTATGCCAGGCACTGTTCTACCTCATCTTATTTGTTCCTCACAATAAGTAGATCCAATTATTCCCATATTACTAAAGAGGAAGCTAAGCACAGAGAGGTGTCAATAAGACTCCACAGTCAGCCAAAGTGAGCCATGATTGAAGTCTAGACATCTCTTTTTGAGAAAGAGTCTCACTCTATCGCCCAGGCTGGAGAGCAGTGGTGCTCTCTCAGCTCACTGCAACCACCACCTCCCAGGTTCAAGCGATTCTCATGCCTCAACCACCCAAGTAGCTGGAATTACAGGTGCAGTCCACCATGTCTAGCTCCTTTTTTTTTTTTGTATTTTTAGTAGAGATGGGGTTTCACCATGTTGGCCATGCTGGTCTCGAACTCCTGGCCTCAAGTGATCCACCCATCTTGGCCTCTGAAAGTGCTGGGATTACAGGAGTGAGCCACTGTGCCTGGCCAGAAGTCTAGACATTCTTAATTGCTGTTACAGAGCTGCCTCTAGTTAGCTCTATCTAGACAATTTAAGCCTTAATTTTCATCGTCCTAAAATGGGATCTGTAGGACCTACCTTATCAGATTGTTATAATTCAATAAGGTAAAGAGTATAACGGTTTAGTATAGCGCACAGCAAAATATATATCTCAATAAATGTTTACTTCCTTTTTTAAATCAGTTGAAGGTTTCGAAAAATGGTGGAATAGGATCCATAACAAGATTAGCACCATGCCTTTCATATCATCAAAGGAAGACTTGGAATTGTTTCCCCGGACTAATATAGCATTGAAATGTCCACTGGGAAAGCATGTGAATCAGCATTACAGGAATTCTAGCAGGTAGGATGTCCAAGAGACATAAAAAGGGTCAGCCTGATCCTTGGCATATATGTTGACTGGTTCTACAGAAAATGCAGGAAAGCTTAGGCAGAATATTGCTTGTGTAGAGTCAGACCGGTGAACCTCAAATTTGGACAGAAGCCTCTGGGAGTCTGGATTTAGTAGGATTATCCTTACCAGTCATTTCCAGTTACATAGTGGGCCCCATACGGAGCAGGTGAAGAAGGCAAACCAACAGAGTTCCGTTTAAACTTCACAATGAAAACCTGCTTCAGAAGAATTCAGAGTCACCACAGTATTTACGTTTGTAATCCTCCAGTAGAATATGTAAACATGGTCAAATATTATTCTGAATGCTTCTGTGAGGGTATTTTTGGATAAGATTTACATTAAATTCATTGGCTTTGGGTTAAGGAGATTATCCTGTATAATATGAATGAGTCTTATTTAATCAGTTGAAGTCTTGGAAGGAACAAAAGACTGACCTATCGTAAGGAAGAGGGAATTCTGCCAGCAGACTGTGTTGGGTGTTAAATGCAGCGTGGGCTCTTTCCCCGCCTGAAGCCTGCCTGCCTGCCCACCCTGAAGACTTTGGACTTGTCTGCCTCCATAATCACATGAGTCAATCCCTAAAATCAATCTGTTTCTCTTTACAGTCAGTCCTCTATTTACTATGGTTCAACTTAAAAATTTTCAGTTTAATTATGGTGTGGAAGTGATACACATTCAATAGAAACCCTACTTTGAATTTTGAATTTAGATCTTTTCCCAGGCTAGCAATATGTGGTATGGAACTCTCTCCCGATGCTGGGTAGCAGCAGCCAGTCATGGCTCCCAATCAGCCACACTATAGTACTCTATAGTAGACTGTGTTGCCAGATGATTTTGCCCAACTGTAAGCCCAGGTACGTGTTCTGAGTATGTTTAAGTATGTTTAGTACATTTTCACACTGCAATAAAGAGACTGGATAATTTATAAAGAAAAGAGGTTTAATTAACTCACTTCTACAGGCTGTACGGAAGGCATGACTGGGAAGTTCTCAGGAAACTTACAATCATGGTGGAAGGGTGAAGAGGAAGCAAGCAAATCTTCGCATGGTGGCAGGAGACAGCGAGCTAAGGAGAGGTGCTACATACTTTTAAATAACCAGATCTTGTGAGAACTCTGTCACAAGACAGCACTAGGGAAATAGTGCTAAACCATTAGAAACCACCCCCATGATCGCCACACCTCCCACCAGGCCCTGCCACCAACACTGAGAATTACAATTTTCTGGTTTTTTTTGAGATGGAGTTTCGCTCTTGTTGCCCAGGCTGGAGTGCAATGGCACAACCTCGGCTCACCACACTCTCCGCCTTCCAGGTTCAAGCAATTCTTCTGCCTCAGCCTCCCAGGTAGCTGGGATTACAGGCATGTGCCACGACACCTGGCTAATTTTGTATTTTTAGTAGAGACAGGGTTTCTCCATGTTGGTCAGGCTGGTCTCGAACTCCCAACCTCAGGTGATCTGCCTGTCTCAGCCTCCCAAAGTGCTGGGATTACAGGCGTGCACCACTGTGCCCGGCCATGGGAATTACAATGTAACATGAGATTTGGGTGGGAACGCAGAGCCAAACCATATCAGTGGGCTAGGCAAAGCTATGAGGTTGGGTAGGTTAGGTGTATTAAATTCACTTCTGACTTACGATATTTTCAGCATGTGATGGGTTTATTGGGATGTAACTCCATCGTAAGTTCAGGAGTATCTCTATGTATACATATCCTATTGGTTCTGTTTCTCTGGAGAACCCTAATACACATACATTCTCAATTTTTTATTGAATAATTAAATGAAACTTTGTGTTAGTAAAATGTATATTATTGTTAAAACACTGAAGATATATTTACATACAATCTCAAACTTATTTCCCACTGCAAAACCAAATGATTCATCATCTGTATTTTGTTTGTTCAGATGTAATTTAAAAATCTGTTTATATTTATTGGAAATGGATAGCAGTTAACTTAATAAGTTATAAATTAGCCTTAAATTTCTCACTGAAAACACCTCCAGGCTGTAGGATGGGAAATGTGGAATACTGAGCAGCTGTCAGTGTCCTTTTCGAGAAGAAATTGCTGAGGCCAAAGTCCTTCCAGTACAGCTTTTTGGCATTTTGTTTTTCTGATTTACTCAAAAGTGCTTAAGATTGTTTTAAGACCACATAAGATCAACTAAGGTCTCAGGGAAATGTTTCCATTTACCTTAAACGTTCAAAATAAATTGTTATAGAGAACAACTGAAGTAGAGAATAGAGAATGGAGATAAATAGACTCCTGAAGACAAAAATTCCATTTACTTGTGATTTTGGGGGGGGGGGTCAATCTTGGCAATTAAGTTATATAATCTTAGTGCTTCCCAAACTGAGGTGGTAATCCATAAATATAAGGAAAGTTACAGGATAAATGCAGTCTACTTTTCCCTATGGCCAATTTTTCAGTTTTATTTGAAAAAATTATAAAATGTGCCTAGTCAGTAAGTCAAAACTCTTATTTCATATTAAAACAAGCATCAATACCTTATGGAACAGAATGCAAAACTTACAAATATTTTACAAAACTTCGAAGGAAGTTGCACTTACAAGTGAATGACTTCATTAAGTTCCTAGCCACTATCTACTGTGTTATATAAGTTAAGGCTGTATTCTCCACTCAGCAGTACATCTTTGATGAAAAACATTTCAAAATCATGGTTTTAAAATAGACTGACTTAAGAAGGTGACAAGCACTGAAGAAGAGAGAAGAAGATCAGCTCCATTTGAGAGCTCCCTGCCCTTCTTTGAATTAAAAAACTCTCTCAAAGAAGAGGCAATAGAGAGTAAAAACTATGAACAGAGTGGTTTAATGAGACTACTTTTTTGTTTGTTTGTTTTCGCTTTCCTTTTCCCATAAATGCCATCTTTTTGGTAAATGTTATTACTACAGCCTTTTTTTTTTTTTTTTTTTTTAAGTTCTTTTTTTGAGAACTACCATTTATTGAGAATGTCCTATTCCGGGTTTCTACATGGGTTTTCATAATTACTCTTTTCAACAACTTTGAGACAGACGTAAGAAATAATGTAGTAAACAGCATAGATATACCCTCAGGTCTCCAAAACCCATGGTTTTGGCGCAATGCCATTCCAACTTCCACTGTCTTCATCCTCCTGCTTTAACCAGGAAAACATATTTACTGGGCAATAGACGTGTCAAAGGTGAAGGTATTCACATCCAAATAATACTGTGCTGTTGTTTTCAAAGCAATCCACGTTTCACGAGCCTGCAAGAAAAGGAAACACAAGTCATGATCTCTGAATGTGTAGAACATATCTTGCATCAGTTATTCTGATTATCATACAGCTATTCCTAAAAGATGAGAAAAAGATAATGGAAGAATTATACCAATAGACTTTGGTTTTCATACTTTTAATAATTTGTTTATTTCAATGCTCAGATATTTTACAGTACTTGTGGGGCCACAGTATAAACCAATGTGGTAGAGTCTTGCTACATTACATAGTGTCTGTCAGTTGGTACAAAACTGGTCTACAAGTAGAGGCAGGAGTGTACCTGAAAATGTCAACATTCTATAAAGAAGACACAGTCTACCAGTCTACTTAATTACTTAATTGACCAAATAAACAAATGTCTTGTTTTAATAATGCTAAATAATGCCTATTGGACAAAAACAGCTATAAAACTAGATGCATTATTCAGTTAGTGGTTTTCATCAGCAAGTGCAAAACAAGCAGATCCTGGTAGACCAGTTAAGACCTAGTCATGTGGAGTAAGGACAGGATCAAGGCCCCATGAAAACAAGGACATTCAACTTTTTATGGCTTTATACAGTCCTCATGCCTGATGATAATCAGAGCCTGAGATATGTGGAAAGAGAGAAAGAATAAGTGAAGGAATTAATTCATTCATCGTACAGCTTTGTTTCCTAAATTGCTAAATTGTAAGAGGGAGATCATGAATAATTGAAATCCTCAGATAATTCAGCAATTTCATTTGGCCTGGAGTTTTAATGTCTTCTTCTATCAGAAAAGTAAACATAGAATAAAAAAGGCCGATGCAAGTTTCTTCTTTGTTTCTCTTGCGGCAAGAATGCAAATGAGTAGGAAAATGTACAAAAGGCAAGCAAATGGAGGAACAACATTAAAGCCTTGAATAATTATCACAGAGGATATTTAGCTACTGAACAACTGAAAGTGAACTAAAGTCTGACCACTATCCATTCATCCATCTACACAAACATGTAATAATTTATTAAGCTTTGACTATATAACAATCTTTTTGCTAGTTTCCGAGAATAATTACCTTGAAGGATAAGATACATACCCTACCTTTATAGTCCAGGTAGGTAGGCTGGGTACACAAAACAAGTAATTCCAATTGACATTTTGAGAGCTATTTACTTGTGAAAGAGCACACAAAAAGGGAGAGAAGGAAAGACAAATGTCGCCCTGCGAAGAAGGGAAAGGCTTCAGAGGAGAGGGGACATTTGAGTTTAGTCTTTAAGCAAGAGGCAGAGTTTACCAGGCAAAAACCACTTCACGGGGAGGAAAAAGTAGATGTAGCTCAGAGTGTCCAGAGAAGAAAAATCAGGGATAGGCTAGTCGTGTGTTAATTAGTGGTCAGCTAATGCAATTACTATTTAAAAAGATAAATGGTGAAGGATCATTTGTTTCTAACATAAATACCTGATTAGCCAGTGTGTTTCCCCACACATCTGAACTGTGATCTGGGTCCCAGTAATCCTGCAAATTTACATGTCTTTTGAGACGTAGGAACTGGTTTGCTGGGTCCTCCAACAAAAATGGCGCTCCCAATGCTCCTGCAATTCAGAGTCCAAGAGCACAGCATCTTTTAGAGCAACAGTTTACATCTCAGTGTTTCCTCTTAAAGAGACCCAGCTGTGATCTTTGGTCGGCTGGGGGACTGAGGAGGAAACTCGGGAAAAGCTAAGCTCTGAGCGAGACAGCTACTCCTTGGCCCTTTGTCACCGCTGTATGCTAACCACTCAATTTGACCTGCATTTAGTTCATCTTGAAAGCCAGTGCTATGTGGTGGATGGAGCAGGATTTCAGAGCTTCCTTTCATGCCTGGGGGCCTGCAGACCCGGATTCAAGTTCCAGCCCTATCACTTTTCTGGGAAAGTTACTTGATTTCTTCGCACTTTAGTTTTCTTGCATGTTAAGGGGTATAATAAAACATACACACTTGCATAAGGACTGGATAAATTGATGACTATAAACCATCTGGCTCAAACTAGGCAGTCAACAATCTTATTCTTGCTTTCCTAGCCCTCCAAAATAGAACTGATCTTTCTGTTTGAACTAGGCTGCTCCCAAACCTGACACTGTGGTTTAAATTGTTGGCATTGATCGATTCATCATCAAACTAAACCACCTTATAGTTTCCAACTCCTTCCTACTGCAGGATTAAGAAGAAAAAAGACATGATAATTTTTAAAAATCCAGACTTTTTAAAGATCTTGAAATTTTAACAATCTGTGTTGTATTTTCATTCTCAAGTAAAACACAATTGCATTCAGAATTATAACTTGAATCAATATAAAGGAAGAACACATTTTCTCCCAACCTATAGGTGACAACAATACAATCTGTTCATTGTGATAAAGAAGCATTTATTACAACATCTAATTGTGAGTAATGTTACATTAGGCACTTAACAACCTCATTATTAGCAGTCCTCTATTGACCAACCTTCTGTATGAACCTAGGTTATATAGCAAGCTATACAGTATAAAAATTCCCCTCTGTAGGGCTTTCTGTTTAGTTGGGATCCTACTAAACCTACTTTCTATTTAGTAGGGTCAAAGATAAAAACAAAGTGAGGCAACACAGGATTTGGTTGCACTAAAGGAATTTAGGAGAAGGTGTTGTTATTGAGCACTAAGACACTGGGGTACAAGGAGGCATTTTCATGGTCAAGGAAGTTGTTTCACTTGCTCCTTGAAGGAAAAATTGGATTTAGCAGGTTGGGAGAAGGGGAAACATTTTTCAAAAAATTTAAGCCAGAGGAGTGCTGTGTTTCACCATCTCAAAACAATAGTTAGAGGTGGCTAGATAGAAGAGTTTTATATAAAAAAAAAATTAGTTAACATTTAAACTTAGGAGATATTAGTGACAGATGCCAGAAGTAATACTGTTCTGCTGCTAGCTAATCCAATTTAGTATAATCCAACCAGCAAGTCTGTGGAAACCATCTTTTAAGGTGGCTCTCAAAGATTAATACTTCTTGTTATTCATATTCTTGTGTAGTAGTCCCCTCTTTCATTTAATAGGGCTGACGTATGTAACTATAGGCTATTGTGGAATGACTGTGTGCAATTTTTGTGGCTAGGAAATAAAAGATGTTACAGCTTCAGCCTAGCCCCTCTTTTGGACCACTTGCTCTAAGAAAAGTCAGCTGCCATGTTGTGAGGGCACTCAAGCAGCCCTGAGGGGAAGACCACATGACAAGGAAATGATGCCTCCCAACAATAGCCAGGTAAGTGAGCCATCTGGGAACCTGATGTTTTTGCTCCAGTCAAACCTTCAGATGGCTGCAGCCCCCACTGACATCTCTACTGCATCATCATAATAACTCCAGAGCCACAACCACTGAGCTAAGCCACTCCCAAATTCATGACCCTGCAACTGCAAGTTGTTTGAAGCTGTTAAGGTTTTGGAAAAAGTAGTTATGCAGTAGTAGATAACTTATAGAATGCGTTATATGCACTTACTGATGTCAAGGTAAATAGCTAATCACAAGGGTTCAGACTAAGGTGAGGCATGTGAGATATCTAGGATAGGGTACAAAACACAAGGAACTCACTTTCAGGGTCATACAAATTTTGTACCATAAGTTCCTCACTTCTCTCACCCTAGTCTCTGCTCTGATTATCATCATTGCATGGAAAGATAAACAAAAATAACTTCTGCCAATCACTACTGCATGTAAAGGTAAGACAACAAATAACCCTTACCATTAAAGAATTCACATTATAGTCAGAGTTCATACATAATTAAAAGAAGACATATTGTGATCAGACCATCCATAGTTGGAGCAATTTTGATACTGTCATGGAGACCTCACAGAGAAATTCGTTTTGAGTTGGGCTTCAAAGATTTGTTATGTTTCAACAATGAGGATGAAGGGAGTGGAAGCAAAGTGCATGTATTCCAGGCTGAAGAAAACTGGAGAGTTAAGGAATGGAGGAACAAAGGAAGATTCAGGGTCGGTGCCTTGCATTTTGCCAATATGATTGAAAGGTAGGGTTGTGGTGTAGATGTGGTCAGAGATAACATTGGAAAGGTAAGTTGGAGCTTGATTCTGAGTGATTTTAACTGTCATACCAAGGAGTTTGGGCTTTATTGTAAATAATTAATAATCATTTCTGAATAAGAAAATGATAGGAAGGACCAGATTTACTTTTTTAAAAAATTGTTTTTATTATGGTAAAACATACATAACATAAAACATACCACTTGAACCAGTTCTGGGTGTACAATTCAGTGGTATTAAGTACATTTACAATGTTTTGTAATCATCACCACTATCCATCTCCAGGACTATTTCATCGTTCCAAACAGAAACTCTTGCTCTTTAAACAACTTTCCATTAACCCCTCCCCAACCCCTGGTAACTACTATTTTACTTTCTTTTCCTATGAATTTGCCTGTTCTAGGTACCACATGTAAGTGGAATCACAGAGTATTTGTTCTTTTCCATCTGGCTTATTTCACATAGCATAATACCATCAAAGTTCTTCCACATTGTGATGTCAGCATTTCACTCCTTTTTAAGACTAAGTAATACTTTATGTATTTAATATATATGTATATATACCACATTTTGTTTATTCATTCACAGATTTACCCTGAAAGATCCTTTTGTCAGTGGTGTAAGGACAGACAGTAAAAGGAAGAGAAGAGTGAGGGACACAAGATCAGAGGCTATTCTATAGTCCAGATGAGAGATAAGAAGGGCCTGAATCTGGTGAACGTGGGATGGGAAGACAGGATTGATTTGACGAAGACGGGAGGAAGGAACTCACATTCATTTGGGCTGACCAGGGTGGACAAACCAGCTTTGATTTTTTGCTTTTAGATGAAATGCACTAATGGGTCACTCTTCAGATTTCTGATCATTCTCTTTGAAGAAAAGGTGTTAGTTACAGTGTTACATATTTTATGTGTTATTATTCTGTTAATAAATAGGTGTTTTTTTCAAAACAAAATTAGTGGCTATGCAAAATAGATCCAATTCCATCAATAAACAATAAATAGTGCTAAGTAAATGATGCTTAGGATATAATTTATAGCTATACAGTGAATCTGTAGTAATTGCTTAAGATAGTGTTGCTTGGAATTATCCAAAAGTAAAACCAGAATTCTGTACCACAGTCATCTTGGTGCATTATACAGTCACTAAGAAAAAAAATGCTGTTGCATAAATCTAGGCAGAGAAGCATGCTTTAAATATATACCATAGCTATTTTAAGCTCTAATAATTCTGTCTTTTGTAAGTCTTTTACCTTTTTGCTCATGGAAAATGTTTTACCGATACAATCTCCTTCTCCTCCCTAGGATAAACCACCTACCTCAGCATTATAAGCCCAATAGGCATCCAATAAATCTTAATTGATGATGATGATGATAATATCACCCATGAGAGAGACAGAAAGTAGTATTTATTATCCTACTTTACAAATTGAGAAAATTGACATGCAGAGATGAAATGACTCACTCAAGGTCATATAGTACGTCAGTGGCAGAGCTGGAAATAAAAATGCAAGTAATATAGAAGGGCAGGCTATTATCCTCTCTGCTTGAGAAATTTCTCCTCCCTTTTTCATTCTGCCTGATCAACCTTGAAAGTTAGTGAGAGCAAGACCAGGGTTTTGCGTTTGTGAACCTATATAATATTGCTGGGGTTTGAAAACTGAACCCTGAGTTTTATTGCTTTGTTGATTTTTAAATGAGTGTGTGTTTTTTTTAAAACGTAGGCAATATCAACCAGGTTAATGCCTTTCCTAAACTTCATGATCATCAGCTATGAAAAATATCTTTCTCTCTGTCTTTACAACTCCCTATACATGCCCCTTTTTTCACCTACATCATAGTCAGCTTTAATAGGATCTGTAAATGTTTTGTCTAAACATTTCTCAAATACCCTCTGCAGAAAATTCTGTATAGCAGAAGCAAGGCAAACACTTCAGAGTATAAAGCAAACACTATTTGGGATCACAGCTCTCCTTACACAAGTCAAGAAGGATCAGAGACCCAGAGTCTTTTCTTGGCCTCGCCAGTGACCAGCTAGGTCATTGAGCCACTTCTTATTCCTGCACTTCCATTTTCTGTTCTGTGAAACAAGTCTGATTATACAACCACTAAGGTCTCTTCCAGCTCTAATATTTTGATCTGGAATGTATTAATAACAAATAGGTCATTAATCAAAAGCTACTTTCTATGCATGGTATCGTGTTATCGGAAGCACAGAGAATATGCTAAGTGGGCACAGTTCCTACTACTTTCAAGGAACTTACTGAAAAATTTAGTGCTGCCACAGTCAGAAATAAGTGAAAGAGAGGTCAAAGTAGACTTAACCAATAATTAAAGCAAAACAGATGAAAATGTATTCATATTATGAACAAAGTGGGGAGTGCCCATCACAGGCTAATGAGCAGTATGAGAATAATGAAAACTGCATCATTAGAAATGAAAGTCTCTATGTTACTAGCACCCATGGAAAACTGAAAAAAACTCTTTAAACAGAATGGTGGGGGAAAGACAATATTCTATATCCTATACACATAACCTTGAAATG